TTAGTCGACCTGTTCCTTCAACCTTAATGATGTATTGGTCATTTTCCTTACATTCAACAACTTTTCCACTACGATCCCATTTTTTAGGGTGGTTCCCTACTTGATTTTGTATGAAGACACTGTCTCCTTCATGTAGTGGTGTGAGAAAACGTGTGTGTTCTTGAAGTGATTCAAGGGTCTTTGCATATCTTGTTCGTAATGCCTCTTCTTTTGCAGACCATGCATGTCTCCACGTTTTCAAGAATTGGTCGTTATTAAACATAGGTATTCTGGATTTTATCCTGGGCATGGCGTCGTGAATGGGATGGCCAAATAATACTTGAGCGGGGGATAACTGACAAGTAGGGTCTGGTGTGTTTCTTATTGTAAGCATTGCCCTTACAAAAGCGTTATTATTGAGATCACCATTTGGTCCCACATTATTTTCGAGGAGGCGTTTTGTTGACTTAACTGGAAGCTCAGCTCTTCCATTAGATTGTGGGTGGTGGGCTGATGAAATGCGATGAGTTATGCCCCATTGTTGTAGAAATTCTTTTGTTTCTCCAGAGGTGAATTGAGGGCCACCGTCGGTTGAAATTTCTTCTGGGACTCCAAATGTTGTAAATAGTTTACGTAAGCATGTGATAAGACCTTTTGCACTCATTTCTGATGTTCCTGATTTTATTCTGTAGGCTTCGGTCCATCCAGAAAGTCTCCAATGACCAGATAATCCCAGCCACGGAATTCAAAATAGTCAGCAAATATGCATTCAAATGGTGTCACAGGGATGTGAGGTCGGATGGGTGGTAGTCGTGCATTAGAAGGTGCATTTCGATTACAGCTGCAACAGTTATCGCGCTTACTTTGTATGCTGTGAGTGATACCTGGCCAGAAAACAGTGGCTTGAGCTCTGGCTGTCATTCCCGATACTCCTTGGTGGGCTGAGTGTAGTACGTCCAATATCTCTTTCCGTAGAGTAGGTGGGATTACAATTCTGTCATTGTATATTATAACCCCGTCGGACACCATCAAGTCATTGCGGTATTCCCAGAACGGTAAAAGATTTGGTATGAAGTTGTTCTTATTCTTTGGGAACCCGTTTTCTATTGCTAACATTAATGCTTTAAAATTGGTATCCTTTTCTGTCTCTGCTTTGACACTATCCCATGTTACTGCAATCATTTTATCTATGTCGTTTCGTATCGAGGCTATTATTAGTGATTCTGTGTTGTCAAAATCAGTATTTTGATTGCAAGTGGCTGAATTATCAGATTCCTTTGTGTTCTCTGCAGGGTAACGAGAAGTAGCATCTGCTGCCAGGTTTGTTTTTCCTGGTTGATGTTGGATGGTAAATTTCCATGGCAAAGTTCTCTGTTTTAGTCGGAAAAGTCGTGTGTTGGCAATTTCATCTAAGGTCCTATCTCCTAATAATTTGACAAGTGGTTTATGATCAGTTACTACCATAAGGTTATCACAACCTTGTGTGAAATATTTAGTCTGCTCCAGGCTCCATGCCACTGCTAGCATTTCGCCCTCAACTGGTGCATATCGTTGTTCAGCAGATGACAGGAATCTGGACCCTGCTAGGGTTATTTTCCATCCGTCTATACAGCAATCTGGGGAGTCCGATTTACATTCACAATGTTTTTGGCTTAGGTAATATCCTATCCCCAATTTTGACCAGTCGCATCTTAAACAGGTCTTCTTGGTAATGTCAAATATTTGGACTCCATCTTTAATTGCATTGATAATTTTTTCCTTTGACACGTTGAATAAAGTGTTGAGTTCGTCCGACCAATAAAATTTTGATTTAGGGCTAAGCAGAACTCTGAATGGGGCCATAGTTTCTCGAAGTTGAGCGTAATGTGATACTTGGGTCACTAAGCCGAACCAAGATCGGATGTCTGTTATTGAGGATGGTGTTGGAAATGATCTAATGGCATCGATATATTTAGGTAGTGGTTCAACTCCATTTTCAGATATTCTGAAACCTGCAAAATCCACTATTCTTTTAGCAAATTGGAATTTTTGTGGGTTCAAAATGATCCCAGCTTTGCCAAAAAGCTCAAAAAATTCGATTGTCCGCCACCAATGTTTGACTAGATCGTCATCGTAGTGGATGGTGTCATCTACACATCTTTGTTTGCCAATAAAGTCTGCTAAAATTTCGTTGAAACGTCTGTTGTAGCCATCCCCACTAGATACAAAACCTTGAGGAGCTCGGATGTATCTGTAGCGCCCAAAAGGAGTAATGAAGGTGGTAAGATTCCTGTCTTCAACCCGTATCGGGATGCTATGATAACCATTCCATGCGTCGGTTACAGTTTTCCATGAATTTCTTGGGACTGAACGAGCTAGTTGGAAAGGCGATTTCATTGCATGAATTTCTCTGTAGCAGTACTTGTTTAAAGGAGATAGATCAACAGTGCGACGAGGCCCACCGTCATGCTTACGTGTGATAACCATTCTATGACATCATGTTGTAGGTTCTCCTAGAGGTACCTTTTCAATGACTCCAAGAGTTTCATCACGAATTAAATCCTTTTCCACCTGGTCTTGCCAATGGATTGGTATGGTGGCTGGAGTAAATGCTGCAACTGGTTTGGCATTTTCTTGAATTAAAATACTTATTGGAGGTCCCTCCATATCAGGTAAAATCTGGTGTGGACATGTGTTGAATGTTGAAGCAGAGTATCTTTCAAGGAGCCACGCTTTCATCCGTTCGTTGATTTCAGGACAGCAGACAAATGGAAGTTTGGTGGGTGCACCTGCTGGGAGACTTCTTTTGGGGCAATTGCACACGTGTGAGCTATTATTTTCACTGGATGTTTTGGTCCCTATAGTTATAGGGCCTGAGTTAATAGCTCCGTGGAGGGCACTGCCTATCTCTGGAAAGTCCTTAGAGATGATACCCAGTTGGGTCATTGCTTCTTTAGATAGGTAGAATCCGTTTGCGTCTGGACTTATGTAAACCATTACTGCACATTCAACTTTGTGTCCATTAGATTGTCGTCCTTCGAGACGTAAAAGAATTGCACCATCTATACGAAATTGGGTTTTATTTGCGGCCGACATGCTATGTTTCACAGGTATTAAATTGTTTGCATTAAAGCCTGCACTGTCAAACCCTTTCCTAGACCATAAGCAGGACTGTGCACCGGTATCTGTAATAACTTGTATATATTTTGGTATAATGGGAGGAAATGGAATACCAAATGCGACATAGTCTGATTTGTTAGTAGTCACACGCAGCTGAATTGTAGGATGGACAAGCAATTGAGCTGTGGCCCATCCATCATGGGTAAATATGTGATGGTTTATTCCTGTGCATGGTCGTTTCACATTGGTCTTCATTTGTGATCTAATTTTTTTATTTGAATGCTCAATTGCACTTAACTTTAACACAAGTCCGCCTGCCTCAGCATCTTTGGTTGCATTCGATTTCTTATCATTTGGGATGATTCTGTTGTTAATTTTAGAAGTGCGAGATCTGAGCTTCTTCCAACAGTCTAGACACAGCTTGTGGGGTTTTTTGTTCCATCCTCTGGATGTTTCTGTAAATAAACTGTAAGATTCTGAGCAATCTGGACATTTGTCTGTTATATTAGTCCCTTTACTACTCTGTGTATTGCTCTTGTTTTGTTTCCTGAAAGTTGATACACTTGCTGTTGTTGAACTACAGCCTAGTGCATTTCGTGCCATTTCTTTACCCTCTATAAAAGCAATGATATCTGTGACGGAGGCTGTGTCAAGGGAGACCCATCCAAGTACGTCTTTGTGGATGTCAGTATCTGATAGCCCAGCAACAACAATGTCTCGTATGATAACATCGGTAAAATCAACAGTTGTTTGTGGGTGGCAGTGGCATTGAACAGTGTAGTTGCAAGTAGCAGCCTTGCCTTTCAGTTTTGCATAGAATGACAGAATACTTTCGTTGTGTCCCTGTCTCATTTGAAGGAGTTCTGCTCTTCTGACACAAGTGGCTACTGGGATAACGGCCAGTTTTTTCATTGCTTTTAGAAATGCCTCATCGTTTTCATTAATTATCATGGGATTTTCTTTTAGGAGTTGATTTCCAAGGTCGTCCTCACAGCACTGAAACAGCTGTGCTGTCATCTCTTCTTGTCTGATGTCTGTACATCTCTTAAACAATGTCCAGCGACTAATAAAGTTTGCCCACTCTTCTTCTGAGATATCCTGACCGATGTGGGGGCGATCCATTTTAGGTGCCTTGTGTTTTGAGAAGGCTGAATGAGTGTCAATCGAGTTTGGAGGATGGTGAAGCTGGTGACTGTTGAATAATGCAATTGCAATTGCTTCGCTGGGACCTTCAATGACGACATTGCATCCTGGGGCCTGGCAAGGTAAGCTTATTGTGGACATAATGTAGGACAGAAAAAGGTTAGCAAAATCCTACCTTTTGTGTGTACATTAACAACTTCAAACGAATATGTAAGTGAATTACAATTTCAACCACTGAAAAGAAGTTTTTATCTTTGAAATACCAGTGTTTCTTTAAAATTTCATAGAATGCATAAGAAACTAACATAAACAAAAGTTAGTCGTTGTTCTCAATTATAACTATATCTTAAACAATGTTAGTTTCTAAATGAAATAACAATAAGTTTAAACAACAACAATATAAAACAATATAAAAACAATATAAAAACAAGAAATGAATAATGTCACTATTTCTACAATTACATTGTATATGTGCGTGTGTGTTAAATTATATATAAAATATTTTTAAGAGTCTTTTATTTATGATATATATATATATATATATATATATATATTTCAATATATATATCAATATATATATATATATATATATATATATATATCTATATATATATATATATATATATATATATATATATATATATATATATATATATATATATATATATATATATATATATATATATATATATATATATATATATATATATATATATATTGTATATTTTAATTTAAAGTGTATACATTGCAAGTGTATACATTGGCATTTTAACTTACAGTAAAATGATGTATGCAATTGTTGCCTTTGATGAGGAAAATAACACTGACTATCTGCCTCTAATTTGGCTTGTTAATGGGATGAGCGAAAATGTTCTGTCTATAATATCTTCAAGGAAATCAACAGATTTTTATTGGCCACGCTGGATAAATATGAAAAAAATTGACGCAGCAAAATCAATCTGTCAAGAACCAGAGGTTGGTTGGCTGCGATTTTCTGGAAGAATTTTGTCCACTGCTGGTTAGTTTATATGTTATTTAAATGATAGTAAATTAACTATTTTTTTGTTTTTTATAAGTTTTATGAAAAGAAAAAAAAATTTAAATAATTTATTTAAATTTTATGTGTTTTAATAAATTTTAATTATTTTACAGAAAGCAAATTTATAATGTATATTTTAATAAGTAAAATAATAAAATTTGAATTTGACAAAAATTTATATAGCAATGACATCATTGTTGTTTAAAAAATTTAGACACAGAATCTGAAGCAAAAGAAAAATGTAAATATGCGGAAGATACATCAAATGTTGATGAACTATATCTAAAAAATTGAAAAAGGTCTATAAAGTTCAACAATTTCATTTCGATAGATGGAAGATATTTACATTCTTTTGTAACCTTATATGATTATAATAAAATAATCTTAATACAATTAAAAATAATAATGCTTGTATTCCGTAATTAGCCAGTCTTGTGAAGAAGATTCTCAAGTAAAGTTATTTGAAAAAAGTTAGTAAAATATTACTTAAAATAAAGTTTGTTTATATATTGATATACAGGACTTGTTTTAAATAAAATATGTGTAGCATAAAAGCGTAAGCATTTTTGCTTTTTAGAAAAGGAAATTGAATCTATTTTTTTTAAAGAAGAACTTAGTAAATCAATAAAGAAAAAGAAAACAGAGTCAACAAAAGGGTAAAAAAATTAAAATTTTTACTAAAAAAACAAAACTTTTAACAGATTCAAAGTCTATCTAGTCTACATTATAATGCTTTAGAGCGGTAATTATAATCTTTTGTATATCATTAATAAATTTAACATTTTTAGACATATGAAGTTCAATAAAAGTTTTCAAGACCTTAATAAATCCCCAGAACAAGCTTTTATCAAGCCAGATGTTCCTTTAAGTATATAATTCAGTTCTTATTTTCTTGTTGCAGTAGTAAGGTAGTATCTTAGGAATAGCAACATTTTTAACTGTTTTTTATAGTTCCTCGATGTTCTAACACTTCAGATGATGTTGATTTCAATAAAAATTCATCTTTAACAGGTATACATATATATATATATATATATATATATATATATATATATATATATATATATATATATATATATATATATATATATATATATATATATATATATATATATATATATATATATATATATATATATATATATATAAATATATATATATATATATATATATATATATATATATATATATATATATATATATATATATATATATATTACATCTTATGAGCAATGCACTAAGCTATGCTAAGTGCGCAATGTCGTTAATAATTGTATAATTTTAAATTTCAGTCTTGTAACATTTAAATTTAAATATGATCATTTTTTAATTTATTTTTTAATATTTTTATTTCCATTCTATTTTTATTTGTAATATTTAAATTAAATATTTTGCTATAAAATGGTATTTTTTAAATTTTTTTTTTTTTTTTTTTTTTTATTATTATATTTAATATTTTATAAGTTAGTCAATGTGTATTATATTTATTAAATATATCTTTATAGAGACAATAATTAATGGGTACACACACACACACACACACACACACACACACACACATATATATATATATATATATATATATATATATATATATATATATATATATATATATATATATATATATATATATATATATATATATATATATATATATATACCATTCATACATATATTGCAGATTTTTCATTCAATTTGTCTGAAACTTATCAAAGAATGCCTAATTCTTCAACAATAGTACCTTTTGCTGCAGCAGAAAATTCAGGTACGTATCCATTGTTCGCAGTGGTAATATTATACTTATATATGTTATAGAAATAGAAGACCCTAAAAAAAAAGGTGTTTATATGTTATGATTTAATGTTGATTAGCAATTAGATTCTTTAGCAGTAAGCATTTATAGGAGTATGCAAAACTATTTTGAGAGGGTTAGAACAAATTAAAGAAACACAAAAATTTCACTCTAAGATGATTCAGAATTTATTGCAACGGTTTAACATAGAAAGAGACATAGCATCAGTGGAGCTACCAGAAGGTTTAACATTTCCTGTAACAACAATGGAAGAACTGGATAAGGCTCTTGAAATATTAGCTAATGTTACTACTCAAAGGATTTTGGTAATTGTTTACTCAGACCTATTTTGTATAAATTTTCATATACTTTATTAAAATTATGTACTTTATTATTTAGTAATAATAAATTTTCATTTAGTTTAATTTTGCAATATTCAATCTTATTATAGGTTCATATTCTTTTTGAAAATGGTGGGCAAGATATTTCAGAATTTGTTAATCGAAATATGACTTATCTTATTGGAAATGTATTGGCCAGACAGCTAAATTTGACCGGCCAAAAAAATAAGCGTGGATTTATTAAAACCATTTTGTACAACATTCTTTATAGTATGCTAGAATTTAGTATTTTTGAATTAACATATTTTATTTTACATTTGAATTTACATATTTTATTTTAATTCAAATAAAAATTTGAAAATATTTTTTTACAACAGCTTCCATAAAAATGAATACATCTACAAAAGAGTGTACAAAAAAACAGCTTGAGGAGGCTCTTTCAAAATGGTTTGGTAATGCTCGTGACAGAGGTATAGGTCGAAGACGGCGCTTAGATGTCGTTAATTATTTGGAAGAAAGTTTTTAAATAATTCTTAATCCTATCTTAAACGAATATGTTATATTTTATAGTAGTTTTTTTATTAAGTATTTTAGTTATTGTATAAAAAAAGAGTTTCTTTTTTCAGTGTTGTTTTTAAGTTTCTGAATTTTTTTTATCATATATACATACATATAAAACCTATGGTTTTCAAAAAAGTTATAAAAAGTTTTTTGATAATAATTCTTTAAATATTTTTTCAAATAAAAAATTATTTTTTTGAAATTTTTATTTAATTTTGCTTATTTATAAGTTCCAGGTTGAAATTTTTTTTTCGATGATATTAGGGACTCAATCAATTATATATATACTTATATATATATATATGTATACTTATATATATATATATATATATATATATATATATATATATATATATATATATATATATATATATATATATATATATATATATATATATATATATATATATATATATATATATATATATATATATATATATATATATATATATATATATATATATATATATTGCTGTTAAATTTGTTATAATAAGTTATAGTTGATATTTGTTAGAAGTTTGTTTATAGTTTATTTTAATTTACTAGAATGACTTCTGAAAGATCTAAACGTAGAAAAATAGCTGAAGTGGTATCAAAACTTTTTCAAGAATCTTCAACTTTAAATATACAGAATCAGGATGTTTATCCATATAGTAGCAATATGTTTTTTGATTCTTCATATTTACATGGAATAAGAGAACAAGTTGACAGTAATTTGGAACCTAACGAATTTTTAACTAATTCTAATTATTCTAATAATAGTTTAGCTGTTATGGAGACTGAAATTAGCGAAATTGAAAATAACAAAAACACTATTGAATTACTTACAGATGATAGTAATGAATGGTCTCCTGAGTCATTTATTTCTGATGATTATAAGAGTGATAAAAGTAATGACAGCGAAAAATTGCCTCATAAACTTGCTAATTGGGCATTAAGCTTCAATATAACATATGCTGCTTTGAACAGTTTGTTACCTTTATTAAGAGAATATGGGTTAAGTTTGCCTAAAGATTCAAGAACACTTCTTCACACCCCCCAAAATATAGATACAAAAATTGTCGCGGGCGGAGAGTATTACTATTTCAGCATGCAGTATTGGCTTTTAATAATGTTTAAAAACAATTCAATAGAATCAAACAACAACCAACTTACCATTCACATTAACATTGATGGTATACCTATATTCACCAGTTCCAGTACTTCTCTTTGGCCAATTTTAGGTACTCTTATTGAAGCTGGAGCAATAGTATTTCCAATAGCAATTTATTGTGGTGACAAAAAACCAAATTCTATTCATGAATATCTAGAAGATTTTTTGGTTGAGATTAAAGCTCTTACTGAAAATGGTTTTACCCATGAAAATGTAAAGTATGATGTAAAGCTTGCTGCAGTTATATGTGATGCACCAGCAAGAGCATTTGTGAAATGTATAAAGGGTCACAATGGTTATAATTGTTGTGAGCGTTGTGTTCAAAAAGGAGAGTGGTGTGGCAAAATAATCCTTCCGCATACATCAGCAACTTTAAGGACTGATTCAGATTTTCGTTATCAAAATAGTTTGGAACATCATATTGGTGTGTCTCCTTTAATTGAGTTGGGTTTTGACATGATATCAAAATTTCCTTTAGATTACATGCACCTAGTATGTCTAGGGGTTGTGCGAAGAATCATCAACTTATGGTTAAATGGTCCCAGATCATGTAAGTTGTCGCAAAATACTGTAAATATTTTATCTGATAGATTTTTCCAGATACGTTGTTATATTCCAAAGGAATTTTCTAGGAAACCAAGGTCTTTATCAGATTTTCGGCATTGGAAAGCCACTGAACTTAGACTTTTTCTAATATATACTGGACCAGTTGTTTTAAAGGGATTACTTGAGCCAAAATTTTATTCAAACTTTTTAGATCTTTCAGTTGCAATTCGTATTTTATTATGTCCTATTTTGTTGAAAAACTATATTGGTTTAGCTCGTCAGTTACTTACTTATTTTGTGCAGTCGTTTGGTAAACTTTATGGTAAAGATCAGTTAGTTTATAATGTCCATTTTTTGATACATCTAGCAGATGATGCAGTTAACTTTGGAGTTTTGGATAAGTGCTCCTCATTCAAATATGAAAATTATCTGGGTCAATTAAAAAAGCTTGTTCATAGGCCACAACAACCATGTTCACAAATTGTTAGGAGAATTTTCGAGGGCTGTTTGAAGGAAGATAGACATCATATTCATCAGCTGAAATTTAGCATCCAGCATGTTGATGGACCAATAACCATTGCATTGAGACATTGTTTGCAGTTTAAAAATTACCAAGGTTTTAAGTGTTTTGTTTCTGCTACTGATGGAAATAACTACTTTGAAGTTGCAAAAAAAATTGGTTTAGTTAGAAATATTATACAAATAAAAACAGGCGAATCTTGTGATGGATTGGTTATGTTTGAAGAATTTGCAGCTCTTGAATCATTTTTCACAGATCCACTTTCTTCCAATAATTTGTCGATATTTTATGCAAGCAAAATGACTGGTATTAATAAAATTTACCCACTATCAGACATCAATATTAAGTATTTACAAATACCATACAAAAGTGGCTTTATTGTTATGCGTCAACTACATTTGTGAATTATAAATACTTTTTATTTTCTAAAACTTATAACCTCTTTATATTATATTATGCATTTATATTATAATAAAATTTTCTAGAAACTCAAGTGATTATTTTTTAATCTTTTTTTAACATATGTTGTATATCTAATTATATATGTAAACAAATAAATTTAAAAGTATATATATATATATACGCTATGCTAATTTATTTATAAGTAACTAAAGAAAAAGTCTAAGAAATCTCAATTTATTACATATCTGCGCTTTTTATTTATTTACATTAGTTATTATATTTATATGATTTATTTATCTTAGTTATACATCCTAATTTATCCTAATTTATTTTAATTAAGTTATAATAATTAGTATAACAAGTTTAACTCCATTTTTATTTTGTGTCATTTTTTTAATTTTCTTTAGAAAATGTCAGTTATCATTTTCTTATGTTATTAAGGTATTTTGCATTTTTTATTTAAGAATATTTCTGATTATTTGCAATAGGTTCACATTGGCTGTTGGCAATATTTGTCTAGTGGTGTGAGTTGACTACAGAACGTCTCCAATTTTAGTTAATGACTCCAATTAAATAAACTCCTTTAATGGCAGGTTAGTAAATATAATAGTAATAATAATGATAAGTAGTCTTGTTTATTAGAATTAATGAATGACCCTTGTATAGAATTTTTTGACTTAATGGTTAGTGAGTATACTCCCTTTAATTATTAAACACAATTTTAATATTGTGAGAAAATACTTTTTTTTTTAAATCTGAAAAAAATTTTAAAATATGCAATTTAAAAGAAGATGTTGATTTAAAATATAAACGATGGGTTGCTTGTAAAATTCAACTCAAAGCAGTTTAATTTTTATTTTTTCACAGGTTTTATTGAAAAAGATATTGTATGAAGAAAAAAGTGCTTAAAGAAGTGGTTTTCACAAAGATTTTAATTCATGATTACGATACGATTCACGATTAAAGAATAAAAATGTAATTTTAATGTGCTTTTTGTTTGAAATAAATAAGCATATAATATGAATTCTCTTATATTTATTAAACCCATATGGGCCCCGTATAGAAACCGCGGCCAAAATCCGGCGAGATCCCGGAGGGCTTTCCCATATGGGTCCCAGTTGCAAATCTATACGGGACCCTTATGGTTTAAAAATGCGGGATCTTAATGGGACCCACACGGGTTTCCCGGCGGGCAAACCAATATGGGCCCCGGATGGAAACCGCGGCCAAAAACCAGCGGGACCCCTGAGGGCTACCCATATGGGGCCCAGTTGATGACCCATACGGGTCCCGCATGGTACCCGTACCACAATGCTGGCTGGGAAGATAACAATTGACAGATGACTTAAAAGATTGCAAATTATAAAGAAAAGCGAATTCCAAAGAACTGATGTTCGAGGAAAAAAATAGAAGAATAAGAGTTTTTTGAGCACTTAGAAACAGTCACAAGAGAATGAATTTTAGTAGATAAACAAGGGGCGTTAGCTCTTTAGAGCAGTGCCCATATTTATTGTTGTGATGTTTTGTGTTGATAGACAACTTGGCTTACCTTCTCCCTGGTGTCTATCGTTAAAAATGATTGTTAGGTTGTTTCGTTACTAAAACTACTTCTAATCATTCAAGAGATAAATTTTAGACTAACAATATTTTTTGTTTTAATGTTGTTTTCATTTTTTCATCTTAAGTGTTGTCGATAGTTCACAAATCTCAAAAAATAAGTTTCTTATTTTATATTTATTTAGTTTTAACTGTTAATTTATAACTTTTTTTAATTTTTAATTTTTAAAATAAATTAACAAATATTTTTTTAAAATTATTGTGTATCTAATGTTTTTTGATATATTATTGTATGTATTTAGATGTATTGTTTTTAATAATAATTTTATTACAATTTTAGGTAGAGTTCTGCTGTTATACCTACTATTACTGTTGTAAGCATACAAAATTTCAAGAAGTTCAGTTGCTGTAAGTTATTTTCATTCAAATTTAAATTTTAATTTTATTAAAGAATCTTCTGTCTGTTAAGTAGGTAATTCTGAAAGATTTATTTCAATGCCCTTACGCAATGATTTACTAATCGGTTTGTAAATTAAGCAATAGGTTTAAACAGATGAATTAATTGGATTCGACGATCCTCTATGCACAAAAAATATAGCAACACTTCAAACATTAAATGTAAACGAACGTATTATTCAGTTTCAATCAATATCCAGAGCTCTTACAAAATTATGGTTAATGGTTGACAAAAAATTCGTTTTTGTCAACCATTAACCATAATACACTTTTTCAAATCACTGGCTGTACCGAATTTATCATACGGGTTAGAAATTTGTTGTTATAATAATTCACTTCTTAATAAACTAAACACTGTTGGAAGGTC